TTTTTGGCTATATACTCTCCTCCTCTGTCTGATCGGATCACGCCCGGCTTGCGATTGAGTTTGTTCTTTGTCATTTCAATGAATTCCCTCAATTTATCATCAACCTCTGATTTATGATTTAACAAATAAACCGTTTATACCGAGAAAAATCATCCACAAAAATTAACATATATCGCTTACCGCTTGGTGATATGGTCTTCATAGGCCCACACACGTCTGTGTGGATAAGGTCAAGCACAGCCTTTGATTTGCCTTCCGATTGCTTTGGAAACGGCAGCCGAGTTAACTTTGACTTTAAGCACGTTTCACACTGTTGCTTCGTTCCGCAGTCTATGATCTTTAAATCGTTGACTAAACCGCTTGCAGCCATTTTTCGTATTGCCTCTGGATCTCGATGTCCGAACAAACGGTGCCAGTAATGTATGCATTTTTCGTGATCCTGAATTGTCCACACTTTCTCTGGTTTACGTAGCCTGTATAAACTGTCTATTATGTCTGCAACTGCAACGTTTGTTTCACCCCTTTTGATTGTACACATTTCATCTTTGAATGTAACTGTATATCCGCTTCGACACAGTTTGATTACCGAAATTATGTTGCCGGTAATTTGTGGTGCATATAAAACATCAGAAATTGTTGCTGTATGCATATCTCCGTCTTCATTGACCATTTTTACTTTGCATATGCCTCTTCCCTTGACACTTTCCTTGTTTCCGTTTGCTACATCAATATCGCTGCGCTTATCAGTATCAAGTGTGCTGAACAAACTCTTGTCATTGGATACGTGACTTGTGGCACCGGAATCAATGATCCAATCTTCGCTTCTCGTCGTTATAACGGTGAATAAATAATCAGTTGTGCCTTGGTCGTTGGTTTCCTGAATAGTATGCGCCTTTTCGCCTTTTCCTTTGGATGAGTCCTTTCCGCTGCTGGCTTGTTCCTTCCGCTCAAGGTAACTCTTGTATTCTACGCAATTCTTCTTGAAATGGCCGGCCTTTTTACACCAGTAACAAGAAGGTCTGTTGTCTGCCGTTTTCAAGACTGCTTCACTAGCTCCATTGTCGCTTGATTTACCCTCATTTCTGCGTGTGTATTCGTCAATTAGTTTTGATTGCACGTATGAATATGTCAAATCTGCTTCCGATTTCACTTCGAGTGCAGTGACAAGCGTATCGTAGCTTTCGGGCAAACTACTGAGAATAATTGCTACACGCCAATTATCCTGCAGCGCTTCTTCACCGAGGTCGACTAGCTTCTGGAATAAATCCGAAAGTTCAGTGAGGTGTGTTTTCATATTGCCACCTTCCGTTAGTTTCTTATTGCATATGCGACGCATTAACATAACCTTATTTCCGAGCGTATTCTTCTCATGGAACTCCTTAAGCGCATCCCATGTTTTTTTTGACGTCTTTGCCTTACGAATATGAGATAATTGATCATCATCGATCATCAGTCCGATTGTTGCTCTCGCTAGGTCATCGTTTTCCTGCCACTTAGCAGCCGCACTAGCTTGTGCTTCTGTTACGCCTGTCGTTGGTACCACCGGCTTTTCTGTACTTATTGCGTTCCATACCTTTTCTTTAATCAGCAAAAGCTCCATCTTATATTTCCATGTGAAATAATTGCTGCTGTTCAGCTTGGCAAACGGTAGTTTCATCTCAGCCATCTCAACCAAACAATTCCTTCTCTCACGTTTTCCGACGTAATGCGCCTTCGATCCAACTCTCACTATTCCGCTGGGCCCATAACCTGTAGAATTGTGCCGATAGTCTCCAGTCGATAGTGAGTAGTAGGAATCCGAAGGAATAAAACTCTGTTACAATGCAAAATTAACGTCCTGTTTATTCAAGAGAAGGTACGGATGACTGACTATGAACTGGGAGAGACGAAAAAGCTAGATGCGCAAAATATAAAAATGTCTCTCGTGAATAACTCTCAAAATGAACCAATAGGAATGGGACCGAAAAATGTCAGCCAATCATCGTTGCTCAAGGCGCACTCATATAATGCGATTGTATATTCAACAGTAGTATTATTTAACAGTTTATATTATAGTTTATATTACCATGGTTTATATAATAAATCAGTTTATTAAATAAAAACTGTTATTTTAATAAATCTTTATAACCAATAACTAATTCTAATACCTAATTTTTAAGCTATAACCGTTCTATTTCTATGTACTAGATACATATGTAAAATATTGCATTGATATTCATGCAGATATATATAATAAATATGAATATACAAGTTGATATCTATATTAATATCCATTGTAGACGGATGTGGATGTCCACTGGATATTGATCTACATTGAATGGATATCCACACAGATATCTAGTGAATATCAATATACATACAATAGATATATCTACATAAATATCTATGGGTCATCTATATAAATCTATATAAATCTATATAAATCTCCACTGAATGCTTACATAAATATCCATTAGGTATCTACATAAATATCCACTGGATGCTTATATAAATATCCACTGAATATCTACATAAATATCCACTGGATACCAATATGGATGTCTAATGGATATCTCTTATATATTCGTGGATATCCCTAATATCCATCAAGGATATCCATTGGATATCTAATAGATATCTATGTTCTGTATGGGTAAATACCAAATGATCAAGTATCTTGAATTTTGTAATTAATTATCTAAATGTATCTTGTTTTTAAATACTTTCTAAGTATCTGCCCAACCCTGAGGAGAGGCAATAAAAATATCTCACCTCACAAATGCAGCTACAGACTGTAGGTTACCAGAATCTCCGTCCAGTCCGCGACACCCAAATAAAACGTCTCTCGAGATCTTTAGGAAAACTTAAAAGTTTCTTCCCCTGTCCCTCTTGAATATTGCAGCCCTTCATTTTACACGTACGGACCATTTCAGCTGGACGTCAAAAAATAGAACAGTGAAATGATGTACGATATTCATTTGATTTAAAGGACTATATGATTCTAATGTAAATATTCAAAGTAATATACATGGTGGGCCATTTTAATCCGTACACTCAATATCTCAAAACGTATGTAATACGTATGTAATATGTAAAGCAATGACAACGCAGAGGCAAACTAACCCTACATTGAAAATATTGGTAATTATGCATAAAAGCGACTTCCTCTCCGATTTGTTTTATTTTTAAATATGTTGTTGGGGATGTCTTCCCGAGTCATTTCATATATGTATATATATAAGGGGGGGACTCAAATAGTTTCGGAGATACAGGCTGAGAAAGTTGATTAAACACGTAAGTCGCAAGTGTTTTTGGCACGGCGCGCTGCGCGCGCCCCACCCCCTATCCCACCACCACCTCCGCCCACCCCCTCCCCCTCCCCACCCCTCCTCTCCCCTGTCCCCACCTCCACCCCCGTCCCACCTGCTTCC